GGCTACAGAACCTTCTGAGCCGGCTACAGAACCTTCTGAGCCGGCTACAGAACCTTCTGAGCCGGTCACAGAAACCGTAGAGCCGACGTCATCAGTTACCGATACTCCACAACCTTCAGAGGCCGAAACAGATACACCGGAACCAACAGAGCCCGCTACTGAAACCCCAGCTCCTACGAAACGTACTAAACGTACTAGACGCACGAAAAAGCCAACTACTAAACCCCCTACCCCAGAACCTACTCCGGAACCTGAAGAACCAGTTACGGAAGAGATAGAAACAACAACTCGTCGAATAAGAACGAGGAAAACAAAAGCAACCACTCCGAAGCCAGTCGAAACCACCCCTAGCGAACCAGAAACGACAAAGAAGGTGCAGCCGACCGTTCGAACTACCGTCGAAACTACAACGGAAATTGAAAATTCTTCTGTGTTATCACATTTGAGTGGAGTACTTGTTGCTATCTTGTTGACAGCCTTCTTTAGGTGATGCATGAAAATGATTGAAGTTTGATCAAGTACTTGTTTTTCTAGACAAATGTGTTTTTAATTAAAGAGTTGTGATGAAAAACCCATCATAGTAATGATTTTAAGATGTACGTAAAGCATATGATTTACTTGAGCATTCTATGCATCGTAGCTGACATTCAATGTAATTTATACATATGTCATCTCGCCTTGGCATTTAATTATAAAATATGGTTTCCATCAGCAATAAGGCCTAAGAGCTTCAATAAATTCTTAGAAAAGAATTATTCAAGGATATATTACTGAAAATATTCATATCTAGGTCCAGAAGTCCTGTTACAACTTTCACGAATTTTATCAAAAAGACATTAAAAGATTTCATAGAGTACTCAATCCTCGAAGAGAAAATATTGGTAAAAGTGATGTGCTAGCAATTTTTCTAAAATCACTTCCGCAGCTAAGATTTTAAGAATGTTTTGCAAATTTGCAACGGTGGATGCAAGTGAAACATTCGAGACGGCCGTAGGTGGTTTCCTAAATCACGAAAAGTTATCAAAACTTTGTTTTCGAGGACTATTGAAATTCCAAAGTAATCTAGCATAAGAACTATTGCACTTTTCTTTAATCGCGTCTAAATCAATTGATGAGTTGTCCTTATGTTTGGGTGTGGTCATGACTTTCGAATTTTTTCAACAAAACAATGGAAAGCTTATTTCCTCACTTTTTAAACATGATATCTTACTCGAAAAAAGTACTAATAGAGCTAAAGCACTTTGCGTCTTATTGCCAACAAGGTGTTTACACACGTGCTGCATGCACAAAATTCCGAAGTACTGTAGGCAAAGACGTCGTTAATTACATTAGATTTCTTAAAGCTCTTATACATAAGATTCGTTTCCAAATTAATACATTAGACTGGCGGTGGAGAGCAGTAAGAAAAGCGGAGTTTGGTGGCCTACTGTGCCCAAGCTTTAGTGGATCAATGGATCAACGTAAATTTGTAGTCTCTTGCCGAATCCCTGACAATCAACATCTTAATATAGCATGCTTATTTGGAGGTCGATTTCGGTTGCTGAACATGCTTGAAAATCTGCTGAAATATATCAACCCGTTTATTAAAACTCATTTTTCTCGAAGGCTCAGCAAATTTTCATATACTCCTTCGACATAGCATCGCTTTTTTTGTGAAAAAAAACCTTCCTCTTTGAGAAAACTTGTTCTAATCTTCCGATGTTTAAAAAATCGCTTGCGTGTACCCTTTCCCTCCCACTCCCCCTCCCACCCTTCCCCACTTCACAAAATAAGTTGACCATTAAAGGCAATGCTATGGGCAAATGTTCGAATTCGGGTTTGTTATCATTTCTGGACGCTTGGTGTGCTAAAGGTGAATATCAACTTCAATCACCATGAATGTTAAAAAATAAATGTTTAAAAATTGAAATTTTAATTTTTTTAAACTGATGGGGACGTTTGAGTGGCAAAGGCACGATTTCAAATTTCCTATTTTCAGTCTCAAAACGATTGCATGGCTTCCTGAGATCAGCGCTAAAAACCAAACACGGCGGTGCTAAGGGAGGCAGTCGCTGAGTGGGCAGGCTGACCAAGAGGGAGGGGTGGCCTCAAACTCTGGAGTGATTTTCTCGCGCACCGCAGTGAATAGTTCGAATTTATTTGGAGAATAGGTCAGTTAATGTGTCGGCGTTCATTATCTAATACGAGCTTATCTCAGTTTCACCCTTACGCTACATTTAAAATTCCTATTGATAGATGCACATCCTGAAAGCGGATAGTCCAAAAAGGATGTTCTTCCTTGTTCTATAAGAGCGTGTCATATTTGGCTTGGTGAGTCAGACGCGGTCTTATGGCCCTCCAAATTTAGATAGTTTGACAAAGTGGAGCTCCTTTACTTTAGGCAGAAGCGCATCACGAACTAGACAACCTCCTCGATCGTGGCTTCAAAGCTCTTTTTCATACCAATCACTGCGTATTGCTACAAAACCATAAGAATTAGCTTGTGAAGTGTCAGCATCTCGACTCTCAGATTGAAAAACTTCTGGTTCGCAAACAGGCATACAGCAACATTTGTAACACCTTTTCACAAAGTCCTGAATGGTGGGACATGCGTGGAGCAGCTTGTTTGACTGATTTTATGCTGCTCTAATGGAAGGATATTTTAGGGTTAATAAAACGTACTTGGGTTAAGCAGCACCTGTTTAACTGTTAACTTAATATCTTCTGTCTTTAGATGCTCATCAAAGGCAGCGTCCTGGCAGTGGCGTTCTATCATCAGGATTAAATGATGCAAATCCAAAACTTTTGTACAAAGCATGAAAAACTTCGGAATATTGCCAATCGAACAACTATTTAAGGCCTTTTCAATATTATGACTTCGCCGTAGTCATGATTGTTGTAGGAATTTTGGGGGTAGTGATTACCCCCTTTTTTCAAAGGCTTTCTAAGGATACTATAGAAAGATA